TAGCAATACAACATAATCAAAGAAGTGCAAATTTAAATAATAAATTATTTTTTCCCATCAGTTTTGCAACAATAAAAAATATTTATATACTCAGGATTAAAGTGAATGTGAGAAAATAGGAACTGATTTACACTATTGGCAGAAATATAAATATAAAATAACAGCATTTTAGAAAGGCAATTTGGCTATACCTATCAGTTAAAAAGTTCTATAGCATTCAACCCAGTAATTTTCCAACCCAGCAACATTTTGCACATGCACCTAAGATGGTATACCTAAGAATGTTCATGGCATCAATCTTTCAAATATTAGAAAAATTGAAGCATTTAAATGTCACAAATACCCAAATATCTCTTAATGAGCAATGATGGTATTGCTACTTTTCTTACAAATAGCTCTTTTGGTTTCAAGTAGATCTAACTTGGGTTGCAAGCCTGTCAGACCAGGTTAGAAAACAAAGACAGAATTACTAAAAGGAAACAGGGGTGTCTAATAAATTCAAAGCCAAGATTAGAACCTGGAACTGGTCATTGAACCCTCTAGGGACTCGCTACACATAATGTGCTTCATCCCACCAATTCGAATCAGGTCTGCATTGAAAGACCTACTTAAGCCAAACTTCAAATTCTCAGTAAGTTTTTTTTATTACAGTTTACATACACCACTATATTCATTTCTTCTGTAGCAACCAACTTGTACTTTTTTTGTTTTGTCTTTTTGTCCTTTTGTTCTCCTTTGTTGTTCTTATAAACCCTTGTGTCGAGTGTACTTCTTTTTTTAAAATACATTTTTATTGATTTCAGAAAGGAAGGAAGAGGGAGAGAGAGAAACATCAATGATGAGAATCATTGATTGGCTGCCTCCTGCACGCCCCCTAATGGGGATCCGAGCCCACAACCTGGGCATGTGCCCTTAGCCGGAACTGAATCTGAGATCCTTCAGTCCGCAGGCCAATGCTCTATCCACTGAGTCGAGGCGGCCAGGGCAACCGATATGTACTTCTTAATCCCTTCACCTTTTTTGCTACTCCCCCAACCCCCCCTCCCATCTGGCAACCAACAAAAAGGTCTCTGTGTGTCTATGAGTCTGTTTCTGTTCTGCTTATTTATTTTGTTTTTAGATTAAATTTTTGGTAGATATGCATTTATTGCCATTTTATTGTTCATATTTGCCAAACAGAACATTGAGAAAATTATTTTGGAGAATTTTAATGGTAAAATATCTTCCTGTGAATCTCAAAACAACTGATCAGACATTTTTATCCTATTTCACCTATGTGTATTTGTAAAGTTGTCTTATCTGCACTTGTAGCTGTGGAGACAAATTATTGAAAAGGATTTATGTTATGCTCAGACTCCTACGCTAACTAGGATAAAAGCAACCAGGCAGCTTCAAATGCTCTTATTGACAGTGTATTTCCAAAGTGAAAAAATAATTTTGTTTTGTTTCAAGATTTTATTTTGAAACTTTGAAGTACATTTAAAAAAGAGGGTTTGAGGTATATAGCTTTCCCAGAAGAGGCCTACATTTTAACAATAGGAAAAACTATTGTAACAATGTAGTAAGTGCTCTGAGATGGGTCTTAGTATTCTTCAGAGTCGTATATACTACGGGCTGGTGGCCAGGTCTGGGGCGGAACAGACACCAGGAATATGATGATCCACACACACTTCAGACAGCTTTCTAGTTGCAATAAAATGGAGCCAAGCGAGCTGCATGGCCTCAGCTTCGCTCCTGCGATCACCCTCTGCCCGCTTCACAGGCTCCTGGCGTGCCTTTTATTCTCTGGTGGCAGAGGGCACGTGGAGTTGCCAGGTTACGGTTGGTGAAGAGTCATTTTTAGAAACAGAAAGTCAGTGTTCTGTTCTGAATGATTCATCTTGCACTCGGGGCATGTGAATGTTAACAGTTAACTATCAGTTGGTGCTTAATCTGTTAGATCTTGCTCAACCCATAATTTGAGTGCTCACTTTTTCTTTTTTTACTTTAAGTATGAAAGAGATGGATTATATTTTCCTTCCAGCTGATTCAGAAGTAAACGGCGCAATCATTTGGTATTAAATAGTGAAAACAAAATGAATGTTTACTAAGTTAAGTGGAATGAGAGGTGAACTTTCAGCTTTCCACATCAACTATTAAAGTATCAAATTGGATTTAAGCCCTAAAACCTGAAAGTTTTGGAATATGAGGAATGTGACTAAGAAATGTAGGGACCCCATTTTTTAGCCTCTTCTTTTTGTTCAGCAGATGTGAGGTATAATCCGTCGGCAGTTTTCAGAGGCATCCTTCCAAAGGATTTATCAGGTTACGTGATTTGGGTTAGTCTCAAGTTTTCTCATATGTAAAATGGGAATAATAACATCTGCCTCACAGAACAGTTGATATTAGAATGTAAGTGAAGCATCCATTTTATTATTGTAGGCCTCCAGGAAATGTTAGCTACATACTATTTTATTTATTGAAAGATACTTTTACTTGGTTCAAAGTTCAAAAGATACAGAGTTATATGCTGTATCTTTTGAAATCTTTTCCAGCCACATAATTCTCCTCGGAGTCAACAGATGTATCATTTTCTTGTGTATCTTGCTATTCTGCTTAACTAAAAGCAAAAATGTATATTCTTTCCCTATTTTTTAAAACACACGAATGAAATCTTACTAATTCACATTTTTCCTTTTTATCACTTAAACTGTATCTTAGAGGTTGTTCATATCAGTAACATTTTCTAATAATTGTGACGAAATTAGACATAGCTGTGTATCAGCGTGTGTGTGTGTGTGTGTGTGTGCGTGTGTGTGTGAGAGAGAGAGAGAAAGTGCGCGAGCGAGAGAGCTAACGTGCTCTAATTTAATTGCCAATTCTAACCCTTGACTACTGGATATTCATTCATACATTCATTTTATTAATTCATTCAACAGATGTTTTTTGAAGGCTTATCACGAGTCAGGCTAGGCTCTGGCAATACAGCCAAGAGCAAATGACACAGTCACTTTTCCCCGTTCTAGTGACTATGAGCAGGACATTCCACTCTGTGCGGTGCCTCAGCCTACCCTGGCCCTGGGGGCCGACTGTCAGGCTCGGACCTGCGTGGTTGTCCCGCATCCCTCTGGCTCGGGGTGTGGTCCAGAGGCGAGGGCGGGTGGACAGAGAGTCTGGACAGCGGGAACCCTGTGGGGAGCCCGGAGTCCGCGTGGATCCAGACGCAGGGATGTGCCAGAGGCCTGGAGACTGGGGGGGACCGCCGCGGGGGTCCTCAGGCGACTTTGGGGCCTCGGTCCCAGACGCGAGAGGACACGCCCGAGTTCGTGTCCCTCCGCCCGCAAGCAGCGCACGGGGACCTGGGAGCCCACTTCCTAAAATCCCACCAAGATGGGCCCCAAGGCCCCGCTCACGAGGTCGGGACGGATGCCCAGCTAAGCCTGGGGGGAGTCAGGGGCGAGGACAGGGTCCGTTCGCAGCGAGCTCACCGCTGGGCAGCCGGACACCGGTTAAGAGACGCAGCACCCCTGGGCGTGTGGCGAAAGCTCGTGCAGCGGGAAGGCTTCCGACCCGCAGAGCCAGCGGCGGGAGCCGAGCGCCGGGAGGACGCGCCGGTCATGGGGCCCCAGACCTTTAAACTCCGGGCGCGCGGGAACCACAGCCCAACAGCCACAGGGGGGTCGCCAGCCAACCACCGCCCCCGGCCCGCCTCTCGCCCAACGCTTGTCCAATCAGCAACTCTCTTGCCTCCCGCCCCCGCCCGTCCCTGTCCCCGCGCGCCTCCGCCCCTACGATCCTCCCCGGGCCCGGCGGAGGCGGGGCCCCCGGCGGGGTGCCGGGGCGAGCGCTGACGTCCACGCTCCCCGGGAGTTTCGAACGCAGTTGGCCTCCGGGCCAGAAAAAACACCAGCGGCGGCCAATGGCCGGCCAGGAAGAACCCGCGCGCGGCGCCGGCCCCGCCTCGCTCGGCTGGAAAGAAATGCCGATCCGGCCATTGGTTCGCGGGACCTGTCACTCCTCGCTGCGGCCAGTGGGCAGGCGCCTCGCTGTGATTGGTCCCGCCCAGGCGCGAAATGTAACGCGGGAAAAGTCCGAGTGGGGACCGCAGCAGCAGGTTGTTATTTTGGGGGTTCGGCGGCGTGAGTTTTGCTTTCCTGTCCCCGCCGGCCGGGCCGCCCGCTCTTCCCGCCTCTGCCGCCTGCGTGTGAAGAGAGGAGGGCGGGCTGGCCCCGGGGCTGGGGTCCGCCCTGACCCCGGTGCCCGCCGAGCTGCCCGGCTCCATCGCTGGCCGCCGCACAGGAGGATTCCGGGAAACGTCCGCGGCCATGAGCCCGCGGGACTGAGAGCCAGCGACTCGGAGCAGCGCGGGCAACGGGAGCGAAGGGCCAGCGGCCGGCGGAGCTGCGAATCGGGGAAGGGCGATGATCCGGGGTGTGGAAGTGCCGATGGCGGACCACCCGCCGCCGCCGCCGCCCGTCATCTTCTGCCACGACTCCCCGAAGCGGGTGCTGGTGTCGGTCATCAGGACGACCCCGATCAAGGCCACGTGCGGCGGCGGAGGGGAGCCGGAGCCGCCGCCGCCGCTCATCCCCACCAGCCCCGGCTTCAGCGACTTCATGGTGTACCCGTGGCGCTGGGGCGAGAACGCGCACAACGTGACGCTCAGCCCGGGTGCTGCGGGGGGCGCCGCCTCGGCCGCCCAGCCCGCCGCCGCCGCCCAGCGCCCGGGGCTCCGCGGCCGGGGCGCGCCCCAGCCCGCCGCCTCGGGGGGCGAGGAAGAGGAGGAAGCGAGCAGCCCGGACAGCGGCCACCTCAAGGTGAGCGGGGCGGGCGGGGCGCGGGGCCGCGGGGCGGTTAACGGCGCGGCCGGGAGCTGGCAGCGCCCGCGGACGCGGCGGGTGGGGCGGGGCCGAGTTTAAAACGCGAAGTTGCTGGGGCCGCGGCGGGGGCGGGGGCGGGGGACCGGACACTGACGTCACTGCCGCGCGCCAAAAAACGGGCCCCTGCGGGGGGTGGCGGGGCGGCGGCGCGGACGCGGGGGGAGGCCGGGCGGCCGCCAGCAGGTGCAGGGGCCGGCGCGCAGCCCGGGTCGCGGAAGCCGACCGCAGAGTCCGCTGGCCTGGGAGGGAGGGAAGGAGCTGCCGCCTGGAGCTTCTCGGGGTGCGGGCGGGAAGGGGCTGCGCAGCCTCTGCTCCATCACCGCAGATCCCGGCCCCGGCCCCGACCCCGCCACCGCCACAGAGGCCTGCGGAGGCAGCCGACGAGTGAGAAGGCGCGTCGGGGAATCTTCGGCCGCGGAAGTCGGGCCCTCGCCGCCCTCCGTGCATCCAGCGACCTGCTCTGCTAGGCGCTGAAGCACAGTGGCCTGCGACGCTGTAGTCGCTGACCTCGAATTGATCGACTCCGGGACTGTTTAGCGCTGGGAAGGGTGTGACTGCCTGGTGCAGACCTACAGTTTACGGATTGGGCAGTTGAGGCTGAGCTGGAGCCTGGCGAAGGGACCTCCCCACGGGCGCTCAGCTGGGCAGTGGAGAGCTGGAGCTGCGCCTGGGGCTGGGTCTCTGGCCCCTGGTCCTGAAGCCTGTGTTCGGGCTGCCTCTCTGCATACCTGTACTCAGCTCCGTAGACTGTCAACTCCAGGGCGGCTGCATATTTCTCTCCGGCAGACCGAGTGCCGTACACACTGTAAATGCGGAGTAAAGGTGCTCAGGAAGTAGTTATGGAATGAGTGAGTGGTGCTACTATAAGTCACGATTCAGATTCTGTGTGCTAACTGACTATAGAAGATAAGCATCTTGCCAAAGATAAAACAAGTAAGTCACCTAGTGGATAGCTACATCTGTATTGGCAAATACTGTATAAACTGAAACAAGTTTGATCATTTTACACTCAGTAGCAAAGATGTGAAACTCCGTGTTGTTTGAGCCCCAAGGAAATTGATACACTTTGTGTTTCTAATGTCATTGTTATTAAAGAGCTATAAAGTTACAGAACTAGGAGCTTTGACACACTTCAGCGCTTGAAGCTGCACTTCAGTAAAAGTTTGAACAAGCAGTAAAAATGTGCACAATAGTGCTGAGTGAGTTTGTGAAGGAACCAATCACTCTTGGCTATCTCTAGGTACCCCTTCGTAAGATATATATATATATATATATATATATATATATATATTTTTTTTTTTTTCTTCTGGTGTTTAGACCTTTTTAAAAAACATGTTAGGTTATATAGTTGAGCAACATAAAGGCATACATGCACAAATACTTGTGGAAGGTTTTGGAATTATTTCATTAATTATAATCTAATTTGGGATTACCCAAGAAGATTAATGTTATCCTAGGCAAATGAAATCTGTATATATATGTTTCTTTTGGCCTAAAACAGACTTATTTTCACACAAACCTTTTATAAAAGTTGCTCACACAGGTTTGGGTTTTATTTCCACTTTGTCCACCTCTTTTCAGAGCTAAAATATACTGGAAGTTATGAAGAATGTGTAAAAGTGAAAAGGCTGTTTTATATTTCCTCAATCTTTCATATTGTAACTGTTTGATAAATTATTAGATGAATTGATTCTAACTTGCCCTTTCATCAATGAACAATCCAAATACAACTCCAAAACTTCACTCATTTAAGCTTCCTCACCGTGCAGGGTTGGGGCAGTTGGGGCAGGGTGGGGGAGTCTGGAATATGCCTTTATTTAAGGAAGTCACCTAGTATGATTTGTGATCGTATCCTCTAAAAACAGGGTGGCCGTCCCCCTTGTTTTCCTTCACTGAAAGTACTTACATGGTAGTTCTTCATCTCCACATGCTCACGGTGAAGCATACTGATTGGATCTGCTTACTTTGGGGAAGATGGGACACAAGTTTGCCATAAAGCTGGTGCTAGTAGCACACTCCTGCTACCTCCTTCTCAGTATGCAGGTTAGAGGCAGCAGCAGCTGTGGGTATGAGAACAACATTTGTGCTCATTGGTTGTCTGTTGCTGCTGCTCCCAAGGGAGGTGCCTGAGTCCTGCACTCCTGGTATAGCTTCTACTTGTTCTGTTTGTTCTTCCCCTGCCTGTGGGAAGAAATTCATCGTCTAGCCCAGTGGTTCTCAACCTTCCTAATGCCGAGACCCTTTAATACAATTCCTCATGTTGTGGTGACCCCCAACCATAAAGTTATTTTCGTTGCTACTTCCTAACTGTAATTTTGCTACTGTTATGAATCGTAATGTAAATATCTGATATGCAGGATGTATTTTCATTGTTACAAATTGAACATAATTAAAGCATAGTGATTAATCACAAAAACAATATGTAATTATATATGTGTTTTCCGATGGTCTTAGGCGACCCCTGTGAAAGGGTCGTTGGACTCCCCAAAGGAGTCGCGACCCACAGGTTGAGAACCACTGGTCTAGCCACTTATTTTGGCCCCTAAACACAAGATTGCTTAGCACTTTTGTGGGTGTAATTACATATTAGCATTATCTTCTATAGAATTTTGGGAGGGAAGGGCAGGTCTGATTTCCCTTTGCCATAAAGGTATTCCAAGCCTCCCCACCTTGTGCCCTTGTACCCTCTCCCCAACCGCATTAATGAGGTTACTTCACTGGCTTCTCCGTGCTTAGCCTCAGATACCATTCACCCTTCAGGACCTGTCAGCTGCCTATCCTGCTTCCCCTTTCATCCCCTGAACTCTTCAACCATCTGATAGCTGATTAGTACAGAGCAATTACTTCCATATTAACACAACATGTTAACACATTGCGCACCGCATAGAAATTTCTAAGACATACGCCAGGGACTGCACTTTACTTAAATCATCATAATGCACTTTGGGTGTTGTTTTTCAATAATTATAACATTTTTATTTACAAAAACAATTAAAGTTCCTAGTACTTTTTTTTTTTTTTTTTTTAATATATTTTATTGATTTTTTTACAGAGAGGAAGGGAGAGGAATAGAGAGCCAGAAACATCGATGAGAGAGAAACATCCATCAGCTGCCTCCTGCACATCTCCTACCGGGGATATGCCCGCAACCCAGGCACATGCCCCTGACCGGAATCGAACCCGGGACCCCTCAGTCCGCAGGCCGACGCTCTATCCACTGAGCCAAACCGGTTTCGGCCCTAGTACTTTTTTAACGTATGGTACTGCGTAAAACATTTTCCTCTATGAAGAGGGACCGAACAAAATTTACATAAGTATCTAGATTCGCTCCTTTTTCCATGGGCGTGAAAAACGAGAACACTCATGAGCGGTCCTTAACAGATGGCGCGCGAAACATGAGAAAACTCCTGAGCGGTACGAAATGTGTTAAAAAGTTAAAAATGGAACTCCCATTTGACCCAGTGATCCCACTTCTAGGAATATATCCCAAGAAAACAGAAACACCAATCAGAAAGGATATATGCACCCCTATGTTCATAGCAGCACAATTCACCATAGCTAAGATCTGGAAACAGCCTAAGTGCCCATCAGCAGATGAATGGATTAGAAAACTGTGGTACATCTACACGATGGAATACTATGCTGCTTTAAAAAAGAAGGAACTCTTACCATTTGCAACAGCATTGATGGAACTGGAGAGCATTATGCTAAGTGAAATAAGCCAGGCAATGAAAGAAAAATAACACATGACCTCACTCATTTATGGATAATTAAGACCATTATAAACTGATGAACAAAAATAGATACAGAGGCAGAGCAACATCGAACAGACTCAAACTACAGCGGGAAGGCTGGGGAGGGTTGGGTGGGGGGGGGGGGGTAAGAGATCAACCTAAAGACTTGTATGCATGCATACGAGCATAGCCAATGGACATAAGACATTGGGGGTAGGGGAGGCCAGGGGAAGGTCAAGGGGAGAAAAAAAATGGAGACATATATAATACTCTTTGTAATACTTTAAGCAATAAAACAAAATTAACAGAAAAGAAAAAGAAAAAGCTAATAGACACACACACACACACACACACACACACACACACAGTATGGTGATTACCAGAGGGAAAGGAAGATTAGGGAGGTAGAAGAGGGTACAGGGAGGGTAAATGGTGTTGGAAGGAAACTTGACTTGGGATAGTGAACACACAATACAATATACAGATGATGCTGTTTTATTAACGAGTATCACCCCAATGCATTCAATATTTAAAAACACACAAAACACACAACATGTTAACGTGGTAGCTAGGCTCTGTGTTGAATGTTTTGAATTCCTTTCCCAATTTACCTTGTTTACCTGATGAAGGAGGAATTAGAGAAAAGAGTCCCCAAGGTTAAGATTAAGTTAATAGCATATAGTAAGTGGCAGAACTGATTGGGACCCTCCACAGCCCTTGCACTTAATCCCTACATGATAATGCTCCCATGTATAACATGTATGAATTGACTTTAGGGGTTTATTATATTTCTAATATTAAGCTAATGCAAAGAGACTTTACACATACTATCGATACCTGTCTATATCTTAATGGAGATGCTTTATGAGGGTACAGACAATATAATAGACACATTCAAATTAAGACTTGGAAAGTTTTGCAGATAGGTCAAGGTGGGGGATAGAGTTAGGATGCAGGTATGGGAGCCATAGGAAATTTGTATCTAAATCTGATTTCGAAAGGGGAAATATGATAAATTTTACATTTTCTCTTTCTTGTCAATGTACATACGCCTCTCTCTGAGACTTATTTTCCTTTTCCTTCTATGTTACTTGAGTACTTGATTTGAATTTTATTTTGTATAAAAATGCGTCAAAGACTTTTAGTTCTTTAGTAATTACATGAATACCAAGTTTTAATACAACTTTATCTTTTAAAAATATTTTTATTGATTTCAGAAAGGAAGGGAGAGGGAGAGAGATAAAAACATCAATGATGAAAGAGAATCATTGATCAGCTGCCTCCTGCATGCCCCCCACTGGGGATTGAACCTACAACCCAGGCATGTGCTCTTGACCGGAATTGAACCTCGAACCCTTCAGTCCTCAGGCTGACGCTCTATCCACTGAGCCAAACCAGCTAGGGCTTAATATAACATTTTCAGCCTAAGTAAATGTGTACATTATGTTAAGTGGGTTGAGAAATGACCCAAATTTTATTAAATAATTTTAAAGTTAGTTTTTGACATTGAGAACTCAAAACATTTATCATGAAATAGTTTAGAAAACACTTTGAAAAGTCATTAATCTACCTCTGGAGGTATTGAGATTCTATTTAAAAAATTTACTGAAGTACGAAACATTTTTGGCAATTTAATCATCTTGCTTCTTTCTTGTAGCTTCTTTTGCTGCACTTGCTACATAATAACAATGGGGTGTTTTGGAATTTGTTAACCTTTCCTTGCAAATCAAGCAGTCGCAACAAGATTTCTCTCTTAGGCTACAGGTATGTTTGGTTGCTGATGAGACTATTATTGTCAAAATGTACCTGGAAACGTTTTCTTATTGCTAAGGCCAAAATGAAAGTGGTCCTTTTTAAGTAGCACTGTTTATTTTTTATTTTTATTTTTTTTAGCACTGCTTATTTTTATATGTATTTACAAGATGCTCTTTAGCTATTGATTTTAGGGCATTAGATCATTACTTACTTGCCTGGCCTAATTTTCTTAGTTCAAAGAATGCACTTGGTGGAGTCTTACTTGTATATGGCTAAGATGTTGTATTTTTTTAGCTCTCTATTTCTCATCTGGAAAATATACATGCATGGTTTGTAGGTGAAACAAGATCTTAAAGAGTTGCTGAAAGCAGCCAAATGATTAACTTTTAAAAGTATATCTCCTTACTAAACATGCTTGTTTACTTATTTTTCTTACCAGAAACATTGAAAATAGAAATGGGTAATTTAAAATTTTTATATTGATGAACTGATGAGTTATTTGAAATTGTAATAACCGGCTGCACATCCCAGCCAGCCCTGTGGTCCTGCCGTGCCTTTGGCCAGGGCCTTACCAAAATGCCATTTCAAATAGAACATTCCATGGGAACCATGATGTTTGCCTCTCACAAATTTGCTGGGGATAAAGGCTCTTTAACAAAGAAGGATCAGAGAGTACTCGTGAGAAAGGAGTTCCCTGGGTTTTTGGAAAATCAAAAAGGCCATGAGGCTGTGGACAAAATAATGAAGGACTGGACCAGTGCCGAGTCGGCAGAGTGGGCTTCCAGAGCCCCTCTTCACTTAACTGCTAGGCTGCCATTGTTGCAGGGACAGTTTGTAGAATACAAGAAGCAGAAGAGAAAGAAGCAGGCAGCACTGAGCAGTTCTCCGCCCTGATAAGACTTCTCCCAGTGGGTTGCTTAAGGAATCTCTGCTCCACAGCTTCCCCCTGTGTAAGGCTTTGATGAGCAGATTGGGATCCTTAGGAAATCTACATATATAAAAGGCTAATATGCTAAGTGTCTGACCATTTGACCATCCGACCGGTAGCTATGCTGCACACTGACCACCAGGGGGTAGATACTCAAAGCACAGGCATGGAAACATGTAACAGACTGATGAATCTCAGAGGGAAGGGAGAGGTGGGGGGGTGGGAGGAGATTAACCAAACATTTTATATGCACACTAGAGGCCTGGTGCACAGATTCATGCACCGGTGGAGTCCCTCGGCCTGGCCTGTGGGG